TGTTTTCTTGCTGTTTAGGGGTTTAGTGTAGCCCCGAGTATTTCCCAACAACTGGTATCAGAGCCTGAAACGATCTAGAGGAAGTCAGATTCAAGTGAAAGTCATGACTGCAGATGAAAGAAAGGTGAGATCAGAGAAGTTTGTGGATCAGATTTTGGATTTTGGAAGATTTAGATAGAGGATTGTTTATACCAAAAGAATCTGTATTAACCCCTTTCGAGGAAGAAGCTGGAGGGTATGAAGGAAGAAGATTCGAATCTTCTAGACAGAATGGCCCTCAGGGTTATTCATTTGATGTTAACCCGTAATATTGCTTTTAACATTGTAAAGGAAAAGACCACGACGGGTCTTATACAGCACTCTCAAATATGTATGAGAAGCCATCAGCCTCAAACAAAGTTCATTTAATGAAGCGGTTATTCAATCTGCGAATGACGGAAGGTGCATCAGTAGCACATCATCTCAATGAATTCAATACAGTCACGACCCAATTAAGTTCAGTTGATATTGAGTTTGATGAAGAAGTACGAGCGTTGATCCTTTTGTCTTCCCTACCAGGAAGCTGGAATGCTACAGTCACAACTGTAAGTAGCTCGTCGGGAAGCAACAAGTTGAAGTTCGACGATGTTCGTGATCTGGTTCTCAGTGAGGAGATCCGACGAAGAGAGTCTGATGAAGCTACAACCACTTCAGTATTGCATACAGAGTCAAGAGGTAGAAATTCAACCAGAGAAAATGGATCAGAGGACAGGAGGTCTAAATCCAAGAATCCTAGCAGCTCGATGGCTATCAAGTGTTGGAAGTGCGGGAAAATCGGGCACTACAAGAATCAGTGCAAGAGTGCACAGAAGGAGTGGGAGGCAAAGGCAGATGCAAATATTGCTTCCACCTCAGGAGGAGATGATGCATTGATATGCTTTTTGGAGAGCAAGCAGGAGTCTTGGGTGTTGGACTCTGGAGTATCATTTCATGCTACTTCTTAGAAAGAATTCCTCGAGAAGTATATCCCCCAAAACCTTGGAAATGTATACATTGGTGATGATCAACCATGTGCCATTATTGGCAAAGGTGTAATGAAGATTAAGTTGAACGAGTCAGTATGGAAGTTGAAGGATGTCAGACATATTCCCGATATGAAAAAGAACTTAATCTCAGTAAGTCAGCTGGCTAATAAAGGCTACACTACGACTTTCCATGGTGATGATTGAAGGATTTCGAATGACGCAACGATGATTGCTCGAGGCAAGAAGACTGGTACCCTATATATGACAGTGGGTGCACGTTGTTTAATCTCAATTGCAACTGTCAATAAGACTTCAAAGTTATGGCACCAGAGACTTGATCATATGAGTGAGAAGGGAATGAAAATCATGCACACAAAGGGAAAACTCTCAGATCTAGAATCAGTTGAATTAGACATGTGTGAAGAATGCATACTTGGAAAACAGAAGAGAGTTAGCTTTCAGACAAGTGACAGAACCTCTAGGAAAGAGAAACTAGAGCTCGTTCACTCAGATGTTTGGAGACCAACCACCACCGCGTCCATTGTTGGGAAACACTACTTCGTGACTTTTATCGATGATCACTTTCGGAAAGTATGAGTCCTGTTAGACCCTAATGCCATTAGGAAAGAACCCTAGGGAGGTGAATAGGGTTTATGCTAATCTAATTCGATTTACTGCCAATTAAAAACTAATTAATAAATATCCTAGCAAATTAGATATGTGACAAGATATATATATGCAAGGATATACAAATAACACAAGGGTGAAATAAACTAATACAAACAATATAGTGGATAAATTAGACAATGAGAGAATGACGATAGAGATAAACAAAATATAAGTGCGCAAGTCAAACTCAAACACACAAGAAATGATCACGGAGTTCGGACCTTCCGTCCTACATCTCCTCTCCCCACTCCCGGGGAGAATCCACTACACAACCGGGTTTTCAACGCTCACTCGAATAACATTTACACCTCACACTCGATTTTCTAGCTCACCGAAAACTTTACAATCTACATTCTTACAATCACACTCTACACCCTCTAAGTGTTGGTCTCTAGCCCGTGTCTTCGTCAAATGCTCGGATTTACAACCTCTTCCTAGGCTTTACTACCGACGCCACTCCTCTTGGGACGACCCCATCTCTCAACATACACTCCTCTCGGTATACAAGTGTATTACAAAGTGTATCCTCACAATTAAGCTCTCTACAACAAATGGTTATTCTCTAAAATGGATGAGAACACAATTAAGCTCACACTCTAAGTTACAAACCCACAACCCCAAATTATACTACGTATGAAATACTATAAGCTCAATGTGGATGTGTAACAAAGAGATAAATCAAAACAAGTCTAAACTCAATTAAAATCTAACTTTAATAAAAAACGATTAACAAACAAATAAATATAAAGCTAGAAAGAGTTTAGGGAAACTTCTCTATAGATCAAGAGAGAGGGAGATGAGTTGAATGCCCAAACACCAAAGATTATCTCCTTAAGCCCTTGTAAAAATTTCTTCACAAACTAAACTCTTAAACACACTTTTAAACCCTTAAACAAACATTGTAAAACTCTTTAAAACTTTTCTCTTGTTAGGAAACAGAGCTGGGTATGAGGAGGTATATATAGGAAGCCCCAAAGATCAAGAAAACCCAGCAAAAAAACCAAAAAACCAAAACAGGACAAAGTCTGGAAATATAACCGTTGGAGGTTATCAGTCGACTGATGAGATGACCGTTATAGGTCAATTTCAGCTCATCAGTCGACTGAATCTCTCATCAGTCGACCGATAAACTCATCAGTCGACTAATAGATTATCAGTCACAAAAACAAAAACATTTGATGATTCCAGACGATTTCTTCAGTCGACTGATTCCTTGTTATCAGTCGACTGATAACACAATATCAGCTTGTTTTGAATAGTAAATCTGATTTTTGAAGTGCCTTTAAAAATAACAAATAAATTCCAAAAAATATAAAACTTTGGGAAATGATTATAAACATGATAATAAACATGTTACAAAAATATGAAAACTCATCATTTTGTAAAACTAGTCAAAATATGAAATGTCAACACACTTGTTTTTTGACATTTTGACTTAAACACAATTTTAAAACTTTGTAAAATGATTTTATAGACTTAATGAAAGATGTATATCATGATTGTTAAGTCTATAAACAAATAACTTAATATTTTCACAAATTTATATTTATATAAACTTGAAAACCAAAAACCCAAACATACATACATATATATATATATATATATATATATATATATATATATATATACACAAAAAAAAAAAATGTGATTATTATGCGGGGGATGACACGAGTCCTTTAAGCAACTAATTACAACTAGCTATGACTTCAACAAGACTAAATCGAAATGTTAGAAGTTTCAAATTGAACCACGTAGTTAACCATCAACATGGCATAGGTTTAATTTGCACAAAAAAGACAAACGTGATGGAATCCATTTCGATAGCTCGACTAATAGCTAGTGCGGTTGTCTGCTATCTAAATTCAACTTGCTGATTTCACCATAATCAGAACTAATTAATACCTAACCTGGTCCAGGATTAAACAAAACTCAGGCCTAAAAGTTGGAACATTGAATTGAGGCCTTCCTCTTTGAAACCAGTCAAACTTGTACAAATTGCACAAAGCTCGCTATTTGGTGATAGAGAGATATCTTCCTAGTCATGGTCATCTATAAACATAATGCATATCTGTGTTACTGCGAGATACGTGAGAAGAAAATACTCAAGGTATATATTTGCTTGATACAGTGGAGCAGCTGTGCTGAAAACTTCTTTTAGTAGAGGCTGCTTATACTTCAGTAAGTCGTTCGCTTCTGTTCAATTTCTTGAGCAGCAGCTACGGAAAGAAATAGTTCAGGCCTTAAGAAAATACGCAGTAACCCAAAGAATAAGCAGTAGCTCTGTAGAATGAGCAGATACTGAAAGCCTATCATTCAATATCTGATGTAAAATAAAGACTGATACATGCAACCTTCTTAACAAAATGTCACTGTTTTAAAAAACCTCCGCCTAGTCCGCTTAGACGTTCGCCTAGGCCTAGGCGGTACTTAGGCCGTCTAACTAGCGCCTAGCGCCTAGGCGGTATTTAGGCTGCCTACCTAGATTTTACGAGTGTTTAGGAGAGCATTGCATGTTTACGTGGATTGCACCTTGTAGGTCTTGGTTGTGATTTTATGTGTTGTAGCCTACACGTCCTCCAAACTCCATTAACCTCCAAATATGAACACCTCCACTACCTCCTCCGACCTTCAACAAAACCTCATCGACCATCACTTAAATGAAGAAAGAAATCCGCCTAGACACCAGTCCGGCATCTAAACTTTCTGTAACATTGATATTCACTATCAATTATTGTAATTAAAAAAAAAATCTTAGGCTCTAGCCTTGTTAATTATTATTTTGGCTATTTAGTATTTAAGTATGCATGATTTATTGTGGAACTAAAATTGCTATCTTTTTTTAAAAATTTATATGAATTTAATACATATTATAATTTGAGTTGATATGAACTTATAATTTGAGTTGAGAAATATAAACATATAAAGAGCTATTGTAATTGGTAAACCAAGCTATTGTAATTGAAAATTTTATATGAATTTAATACATATATATTTATTTTCAAGTATCATAATTAAAAAAATAAAAAAGAAAAAAATGCCCAGAAACCGCTTAGGCGCCCGCCTAGACGACTAAGCGCTGGGCGCCAAGTCCGACGCCTAGAAGCGCCCAGCGTTTAATGTAACATCAATAAATAAATGAACAAGACGAAAGTCTTTACCCGCTTGGAATCGGCTACATGATTCCTATTATCTAATTCCATTTTATAACTGTTACCACCTTCACTATGTTAACATTTGCCATGTCCTTCTTAATTACTTCCAGCCACGTTTTCTAAGGTCTATTTTTAATCCTCCTTTTTCTTCCTTACTTCAGTTTTAAATAAATGCTAATAGAAACTACATCGGTTTGTTGATTTCGAATTATTGGGGCAATTATCAGATAATGTAATACAATTCAAGTTCCTAAATTGAAAAATAAAATTATCCTTGTTTACAAGAATTACCATATAAAAGTTGAGGAGCACTAGGGGCACACCCCCAGGCACATCCCCAACCACATCCCCCCACCTGCTACAGTGCAGGGGGCCCCCACCTGAGATTTTTTTAAAAATCTCAGGTGGGGCCCCCTGCACTGTAGCAGGTGGGGGGAGTGTGGTTGGGGATGTGCCTGGGAGTGTGCCTCTAGTGTTATTTATAAAAGTTTGTCATCATTGGAGGAGTTTGAGGCATTGCATGAGGGCATCAGTGTGCTCAGGCTTCCCAACAGAGACTCGAACATATCCCTTCAATTCCTTGTTGTTGTAATGACGAATCATAACGCCCATCTGTGCAAGCTCCTCCTGAATATAATTTTAATATTAGTTAAGGTGGCAATACAAGGAAATGAACACCCTCATTATGCATTCATTATACAACAAAATTAACACGGTGATATATGCTGGATGCATAAGAGCATCCATTAACAACCAATCCTCCTGCAAACAGACGGTAAAATGAAATGAATATTTAAATGCGTTTCCAAGTTTTCTTCTAAATTAAGCCATCACCATATATAATTCCAACAAACCAAAATGGCAATAAAACCAACTCATGGAAAGAAACAACAGAATAGTAATTTGAATAAAGTATCATTTCACTTTCTAAAAATCCACATGCATTGACCAACAACACATCATCTAAAACAATTAAAAGCCTCCTCGTGAAAATAAATATTATGCTATTAAAATATGAAGGTAACATCTTAAGTCATCATTTGTTAAATTTAAGATTCTTCAGCTGAACTCTGTACTCTCACCCAAACTTGTAATGATACTTGTGAAGCATTAGGGACAACTACTCATCGTTCACCATATTGTTTGATAAATTCATTCATTTTTTCAGTAGGTATTGTGGGAAATAAAAATAGCCTTGTATTTCAGCTTCAAAGAATAGACGACAAAAGAAGGCGGAAAACAACACCCAAAAGGCGAAAGAATCGTAGCCAGGCCAAAGAGAGTCCACAGTCACTGCGGCTC